AGCACTTAGTAAAGCATAGTAAACACTCAATAAATGGTTCCTATTACTAGATGACTTTATCATCCCTTCCAATTCCCAGATTTCATGATACTAACTTTGGCACCATGAAATTTAAGACAAACTTGAACTCCAGCTACAATAATATAATCAATAAATTAAACCTTCATTTTAATTTCAGAATACTAAAATAGTTTTGTTTAAAATACATTCATATCTAATGCTTTCTCCCCACTATTATAAAAATAAAACCCACAATTATCAATAAAAGCTAGTCTATTATTAGTCATAATCTTAAATCCAAAATTCACTTGTATTTTAGAACTAAAATGAAAACAGAGAAATGTCTTAAAAGTGCTAAAAATAGCACTGTAAAAAAATGGTTACTTTTATTTCCAGAATATTCTCTATATTTTTAAATGTACTTTTCAGAAATGGCATGGAGTTGAAAATAGCTACTATTGGTACTTTAACATGTTTGTAATTTCTTTTAAATCAACAAGTATATAATAAAATCAATCAACAACAGGCTCTTCAGTTATTCATTACTACTCTTTTCCAATGATAGTTACAGTCTTTCCTTTTCCACTTGTTTCTCATTTGGCTGAAGAATAAGAATCTTCTCTAACATTCAACATCCTGATGCACAAAGAAGCTCTAAAATATTCTCACCTCTATCCAGATTTAATTGTTCAATATCCATTCACCCCATTAATTAGAATGTAATCATATATAACAAATAATATATTATCATAGATTTTAGGTTTCTTCTAAAATAATTTTATTTTTTCTCTTTCTTCCAGAAGGAGTCACTATACCCTGCTTATAGAATGATCACTTTCCCCAATCCACTTTTTAAAATAATGTATGTACACAGGGATTCTTCATTATACTAACAAAGTAAGTTTATAAATACATTAAAATCCACTGTGTATTTTGGACACTGAAAACAATCAGATCTTGAGCTTTGTAGCTGCCTGGCTCTTGTACTAAGTACTGTGGTCAATGTTTCCTACTATATTTTTTTCCTTCCATATGGTAAAAACTATGCTTTTAGTTTAGAAATCTAAATGTTATTACTCGTTAGCAAGTTTTCGTTCCCGATGGTGGGGCTGTGCTCTTGTGGGTGTCTCTCTCTGCCTTCAAATTATGAGCATTTACAAAGGAAAAGGAGAAAGAATTGTAATTAGGTGGCAACCTGCTCTCATTTTTATGCATGAGTTAGCCTGTAACCTTGGTTTTCATTTTTTGCTGTGTACCTGGCCAGGTTTCTACATTCTTCTAGAACTCTTTGTAGTTTTCACAAAGCCATGACCTAAACACGATACGTACCATGGTTATTGCCCCTCATCACTAAAGTTATGGGTGGATGGGCCAGACTGTGTATTCTTTTATAATGGCAAGTCTAGGATACTATTCTAGCTGACAGTGGAAGATAAAATATCTGAAATATTTTTACATTTTCTAATGAAGATAAAATTCCAAAAGGCTAAAATAACTGTCATTACAAAGAATGTCAAAGAGGAATACCTGAGAGGCCAAGGAGGGTGGATCACAAGGTCAGGAAGTCGAGACCATCCTGGCTAACTTGGTGAAACCCTGTCTCTACTAAAAATGCAAAAAAATTAGCTGGGCGTGGTGGCGGACGCCTGTAGTCCCAGCTACTCAGGAGGCTGAGGCAGGAGAATGGTGTGAACCCGGGAGGTGGAGCTTGCAGTGAGCCGAAATCCTGCCACTGCACTCTAACCTGGGTGACAGAGCAAAACTCTGTCTCAAAAAATAATAATAAAAAATAAAACATAAAGATGAACATCTTTTCTTCATAAATAATTGACTTAGCTATCTATAAAGACACTAACTTTATATTTGTTTATTTGTCTACTTATTAATAGTTTTCCCAATGAGATAGTAAGCTCCATGAGGGCAGGGACTGTATCTGCTTTCTCACTGCATTTTTCACCTGCAGCTTAACACAGTGTCTTGGTGTTACCTAGGAATCTTTAAATAAATATTTGTTTTAAAAAATGAGTAAGTAGCATATCAAGTGTTACCATTCTCTATCATGGTAAAATCTAATTAAAGAGGATATAGACATTGCTCAAAATTTTGACACCTTTATAACTTTCTCTTTAATTTCACAGGAAATATATGTATCTTTAATTTTCAGGGGATGAAAATGAACATTTATTGTGTCTGTTGTTTATTAGGCACTCAGGCACTGTACTAGATTCAATGCTTTGCAGAAACTCATATTTAAACAGTATCATATCATCTTATAATCAAGTTTTTAACACATAAATAGGTCTATTCCTACCTCTACCATTGACTATGTCACTTTGGGAATTCTTTTAATTTCATGCACAGAACTAAAAACAAAAATTTAGTAAGTAAGAATTTAATATTACTAATATAATTAACTCCTCTCTTGTGAGGAACTGTTATGGAACAAAGTTTTCCACTTTGGAGTTTTCCAGATTTACCTCTTTCAACACAAATGTTTTTCCTAAATTTCAACTATTTTAATGAAAATATTTTTAAGCATAGTATTTGTAACTGTATGGTCTCAGCCAAAATGTTTGGAGTATGAATCTATTTTTTTGGATATCTCAGACAAGGATAGTGGTAAGGATAGCAGAGTGGTTAAGACCAGAGGTTTTAGAACCAGACTATGTAGGCGGAAATTCTGGCACTACTGCTTACTAGCTGTGTGATTTTAGATAAGTTAACTTCCTTGAGTCTGTTTCCTTGTCTGTAAAATAAGCATAATCCTAATATCTACATTTTAGGGCAGTCTTGAGGATCAAATGACGACATATGCAGAGTGCTTACCATACAGATGATGCGAGGCAAATAGTAAGTGCTCAATAAATGCTAGCTAAAAAAGTTTTAATTTATTAAGGTACTGAGCACTTGGGTGAGCATGCACTTTTTCTATATCATAGAAAATGACCCCAAACTATTAAAAAAATTATTCTTTTTTTTTTTTTTTTTTGAGACGGAGTCTGGCTCTGTCGCCCGGGCTAGAGTGCAGTGGCCGGATCTCAGCTCACTGCAAGCTCCGCCCCCCGGGTTGACGCCATTCTCCTGCCTCAGCCTCCCGAGTAGCTAGGACTACAGGCGCCCGACGCCTCGCCCGGCTAGTTTTTTGTATTTTTTAGTAGAGACGGGGTTTCACCGTGTTCGCCAGGATGGTCTCGATCTCCTGACCTCGTGATCCGCCCGTCTTGGCCTCCCAAAGTGCTGGGATTACAGGCTTGAGCCACCGCGCCCGGCCAAAAAAATTATTCTTATATAAATTTTCTTTATAGATTTTGTTATCTATATAAAGTTTTGTTCTTCTGTTTCTTACCTTAATCTTATTTGTTAATTGATGCCTTTATAGTACCCCCTTCTTCTAATTTGAAGCTCTACTGTGGGCTGAGAAACCAAAACACTGTATTGGTTAGAAATGTGTAAGAAGATTCCTCAGCAAAGGGCCTCAGGGGTTCTTCGAAGACCAAGGTACGTAAGTCACATCTATTTCCACTTAGAGGCCTTTCTGGATTACTTATTGTGTTCTCAGTTGTGTTTGGGAAAGTTGGAAATACCAAATAAGTGACCTAAGGATTAATGAGGCACTATTGTTCTAATTCTGTCAAGCATTAGATTAATCAAAAACAAATGAAAGGTTGATTTCTTCCTGTTTTGCACTGTTAATTTTCTACAATTATTAATCAGCTACCAATGTAATTATTAAACTTTTAGTCCAAACAATGTTTTTAGTGTAATACCTGAATCAATACACAGATCCTATATTACAAACCCCATTTTAAAACTTGGGTATTACTAATTGTGCTATTATACAAAGCCCAAGCAAAATAAAATGTTTCTGTGTGATTCAACCCATAGTTCTTATGTGGAGGTTATCGAGTCAATGAAAGGGAAAAAACATGAATCGTCAAAAGGGCTAAATGAAATAACAATCAATGGATAAAGTAAAAAGAGAGTAAAACAGAAATTGTTAAGCTCATGAAATCGAAATAAAAAGAAATGGAAAGATTACAGACTAACAAAGAAAAGTAAGGAAAAATTTACCAACTTTATTCCCAATCCCTAAATGAATAAAGTGTTTCCAATTTAATGTTCAGTTTAGTAGCACCTCTACTTTTTTAACCCTACTGGGAAGGCATGAGAGAGACTCTGATAAGAAAACCATGTGCATCCGTGATGATGAAACCTTCTGCTCAGGTGGCCACATGCCAGAAGAGGCACAGTGGATCCCCACACTTAGGAAATCTAGGCCTGAGCCAGAAACTGGCAGCTGTCAGGCCAAAACATTTATATTTTATGTCTTATCTTAAAAATTCATATATATTTTGCATTTCACTCTGTTACATACTATGGAATTTTGAATATAAAAATAATGTTTCTAACGACTGAATTATTTAACTCCTCTCATTCCCAAATATTCAAGTAAAATTGATGCTCCAGGAAGATTCGCACTGTGGTTCTTGTGGCTTTCCCTTCCACTTGAGCAATACCAATATAGTCAGGGGTATGTGAGAAGCACAGGTGAGATGGTATCTTATTATAATATGATGAGCTCAAGGGTCTCAAATGATCCACAGAAAACTAATAATCCAATAATCATTAAATAAAAGCTTCAATTCTCATGTAAATCAGTAAAGCTAAAAAATCCAAAAGAATGGTATAAACTAGGCCCTGAATCTTAAAATGCCCTCTTAGCTTTTGAGCTACAGTTTTTATAAAAAGATCAATAATGATGTCTTCCTGTTCCAATATGGAATTAGTGTCTCCCTAAATACATTAACTTCAGAAGTATTGAATTACCAAGGAGGATCAGCACCACAATGAAACAAATAGTTGTTCTTTGCAAACTAGTGATTACCAGTAAAGAAAACCCACCAAAGGCTGCTGGATACAAAATGACAAAAGGCAAAGATGTCAGGACAAAAGATAATAAAGTATGGTAGTCACCCAAAATCCAGAAGGATAACACTCACCCTCATCCTGATAATCTGACAAAAAGTGTGTGTCGGATGTGAGGGACAGGCCAAGAGTCCCACTGTGATTATCATCAGAGCTGTCCTGTCCGAAGTCTCCTCCTGAGGGACAAAAAAGAGAGAAAATAAGGTCAACCTTTGGACATCCTTATAAAAGGATACATCCTTGGTATGGTACTGGAAGAGATCTATGTATGATCATAAAAAAAAAAGAGATTATCTTTTACTCGATGATGAACATGGCCACTATCCATTAACATATTGGAAACAGTTAAACAAGTTCAAGAACCAACTTACCTGGATGAAAAATTTTCCACTCAAGTAACTCTGTCACTAAAACTTAGGAACTGTTAGCTTAGAGTGGGAATACCTCTTGTCACCAGAAAGAAATTTATCTATCATACTTAAAATAAAAACATAGCTATATAAATTTATATTCAGCCAGGCATGGTGGGTCACACCTGTAATCCCAGCACTTTGGGAGGCCCAGGCAGGTGGATCACCTGAGGTCAGGAGTTCAAGATCAGCCTGGCCAATATGGTGAAACCCCATCTCCTTTTCTCAAAAATTAGCAGGGCGTGGTGGTGGGCGCCTATAATCCCAGCTACTCAGGAGGCTAGGGCAGGAGAATCGCTTGAACCCGGGAGGTGGAGGTTGCAGTGAGCTGAGATTGTACCATTGCACTCCAGCCTGGGTGACAAGAGCAAGACTCCATCTAAAAAAAGAAAAAAATTAAATTTATATTAATATATACTATGTCTCCCTGCATGACTCTATTTCAAGTGAAATAGGACTGACGCAAAGGTTTAACCTTCTATACATGATATAATATAGCAAGCTCAATAGTCTTTCTCTGAAAAGTAAGAGAGGTATAAAAATAGAGAGAACCTAGACTTTGCTGGACTGTATTCCTATTTGTTCTACAACACTAACAAAGTTTTTTCTTTGTAATTCTAGTTTACAGCCTAGGCAACTGACCTCTTAGGAATTCTAAAAGCCCTAAGAAGATAATATTTGTTCTGTAAAATGGCTTTGATAAAAGGTAATGTATATACAATACTGAATTATGCAATTAATGCTAATCTCTTTTGTGTGTTTTCAATATACATTGGATTGTATTCTGTAGAAATGGCCAATGTTATTTTGATACTTTAAAAGGTTCAGACAGAAGATGTTAGCTCATTCAGAAACCGGAAGAAAAGGCTCTGTATTGCAAATGACTTTGCTTAAAATCCCCCAAATAGAGGTACAGTCTGCTGATAAAAGGATACCGACAGCTGCTTATTTCATTTCACAAACATGAAAATAGGATTTTCAACTGAATTTAATATTATCTCAAATACTAATTTCCAAAGGAAATCACCAATGCTAATCTCAGTAAATACTGTAGAGTTTTGGCCTTGGATTTCAACTAGGGAGCTGTGAAACCAAACAACCTACATAGAATCTGTATTGCCTCACTTTAAAGGTTTATTTCCTACAATTAAACTAGAAAACTAGGGAGGTTATAAAATGATAAAAAGAGAATGGCTGTAGCCTTCTCTTTCCATAAATTAGATGATCATATCTAGACTCTTCTTCAAATGCTGTACGGTAGGTAGATGTCCATAACTGAGTTGAACACCTACAAATATAGGACTTTAGAAATAAACTATAAAGTTTATTATGGAAAAGATAAATAAAAATTGTAGAAAACTTACACAATAGTCATTGGCCAAAGCCAGAAGAGTTACTCTGCTTTATTAGTTTACTTATCAGGATACAAAGTTTATAGCTATGCTTACAGCATCACTGTGTAATTTCCATAATAACCAGAAAAATTCTCAAATACTGGACTGAGGATTAAAATGCTCAAATTTTACATCATTGGAAGTCCACTAAAATTATATTACCAACACAATCTAAATGGACTGCCTGGCTAGTAACCTGAAAGTGAGCTGCAAGGTTAAATGGAATTTTTATTTTAAGCCAAATAAAAATCCTTAAAAATAAAAAAAAGTACTGGAATTGCCAAGCAAAATTTAACTTTTGTAGTATATACTGAACATTATTTATAAACATTATTTGTAAACTAGTTTTCTGCTTAGTTCAAAAATGTGGCAAATCTACCATTAAAGAAAAAGAACCTAGCCAAGCCAGTAGCTCACGCCTGTAATCCCAGCACTTTGGGAGGCCAAGGCAGGTGGATGATTTGAGCCTAGGAGTTCGAGACCAGCCTGGACAACATGATGAAACTCTGTCTCTACAAAAAGTAGAAAAATTAGCCAGGCATGGTGGCTTGTGCCTGTGGTCCCAGCTACTTGAGAGGCTGAGATGGGGGGATTGTTTGAGCCAAGGAGGTAAAAGCTACAGTGAGCCATGACTATGCCACTGCACTCCAACCTAGACAACAGAGTGAGCCCTGTCTCTAAAAAAAAAAAAAAAGAAAGAAAAGAAAAGAAAAAAGTACATGCTCGCATTCTAAGCTTTTTTAAAAAACATGCATATCAGGAAGGGCTTTTTTTTTTTTAGTGAACTTTTTATTTTGGAATAATTTTAGATTTATGTAAGTGTTGCAAAGATAGTACAGAGTTCCTACACACCCTTCCCCCAGTTTCCCCCAATGTCAACTTCTTACATAATTGAGGTCTATCTGCCAAAACCAATAAATTAACATTGGTATATTGCTATTAACTAAACTACAGACTCTATTTGGATTTCACAAGTTTTCCATTAATGTCCTTTTTCTGTTTTAGGATCCAATCCAGGGTATCACATTGCCTTCACAGCCTCAGTTTTTAAAGTCTTACCCAAAACACCTGCCTGGGTTTGGCACTTGCTTTCCTAACTTCAGATGGAAAAGTCACTTCCACATGATTCCTATGGTTTCTGAGTATAGTCACCCAAGGTGTGCTTTCAACAGCCACCCCTGGTGTCAAACACGAGACAGTTCCTCTGTAAAGTACCCAACGACAACGATATACAACTCAATGCAGCAAAACAGAGCCTAGGTCAGTAGTACAAATGGTTGTGGTGCAGGAACATTTAGAAATAAGCTTTACACCCAAGTGCAATTAGTTCCTGATGATGGAGATGTTATTATAAGTGTTCTTAGTGTCATATCAAGTGACCCAGTTCCCTTGGGCACACACAGAAACAAGGCTATAGCACCATATAAATAGACACTCCCGTGTAATTGAAATGATTACAACTACTGAGGATGCATGGGTGAAAAGTTTTATAGAAGAACAGCAATTACTGTGGTCATTTTGGATTTGTTTAAGTTTAAGAACATCATTTTTCTTTAAAACATAACCGTACGTGTTCTCTGGATTTGTCTATAGCTCTGACAATTGCAGTTCCAAATGGCCACAACTGTAGTCCAGTGGGATCAGACATAAATGATCACAAACTATAGTGACAGACATTTCCACTCAGCAGCTCTACAATTAGGGCTTAGAACTCCATCTGCTTAGAGTGGCTTTCTCACAAGCAAGACCCTTTGCCACTGGAGACACACTTTCCCTCTGCAACTCCAGCAGAATCAATATATTTCTATACAGATATATATTTTAACACACCATATCTCCATTAATCACATCCATTACCTTCAATCCTTTCTCTTTGTATTTCTAAACAAGATCTGGTGGAACTATATCAAGGGTTCACCTGCTATTAGCAGGTAATTTGCTCCTGTAGCCTAAGTGTCATAAGAATCGGGCATTAGATACACTCCTTGGCATATTCAATGGCAGGTCCTCCACCAAGTATGTGCTGAGGGGCCCATAAGCGGGATGATTTCTCTATTCTTTTTTTCCGAGAGTCAAACTCAATTTCATTCATGCTCTACAGAGTGATAAGTTGGGAATTTCTGAGGGTTGGAGCAGAAAGATAAAGCAGCTTTGTGTCAGGTGTAAGGTAATTATTTCCTAGGGTTTCTGTGCTATTTGTTTTTATTCCCTGTGTTTTCATTAACAGTTAATGAGCTTTCCCCCTTAATTCTGAAACAATAGGCTTGGCCACTAGAAGTTGGCTTTTTCTGCCACAGATTCAACCAGCTGTTGCTGCTCCATAAACTTTATGGAGAAGTGAATTAAACTGCTAAAACTTTCATTTACTAATTCAATTCCAAATAAAACAGGGAGAAAAATGAACCATGATGATGTTCCCCTTGTAACTATTTTAGTTCACAGCAAATCCGTTTAGTCCTGAAGTTGCAGGTACTATTTTGAGACAAAAACAGGCCATAATGACAATTTTACCAGATAAATGAGAAAGAAATGAAAAAAGACAGAAAATGGTTTAAGCATTAAAAAAAGTGAGAAAATAACAAATAACAGAGAAAACTTATAAGTTTGCTTATTCAATATGTAAAGGCTCGATTTTTTATGTTAGTCTACGTCATCATCTTTTATTTCTCTTCAAATTAATTGTGAGCTATATTATAAAAACTCTACTCATATTTGCAACCAACTGTTTATATGGCGCGGTTAAAAACTAGGGTTTGCAGCCGGGCGTCGTGGCTCATGCCTGTAATCCTAGCACTTTGGGAGGCCGAGGCAGGCAGATCACCTGAGTTCAGGGTTTGAGACCAGCCTGACCAACATGGAAAACCCTGTCTCTACTAAAAATACAAAAAATTAGCTGGGAGTGGTGGCACATGCCTGTAATCCCAGCTACTCGGGAGGCTGAGGCAGGAGAATCGCTTGAACCCGGGAGGCAGAGGTTGCGGTGAGCCGAAATTGTGCCATTGCACTCCAGCCTGGGCAACAAGAGCGAAACTCCACCTCAAAAAAAAGAATGACAACAACAAAAAACACTAGGGTTTGCTATTACTTCACCAAGTATCTCTGGATTATATAAGGAAATTGAGATTAATTTAAAATTGAAAAATTTTAAATTATTGTTGTTGTTGGAAGGGAACACATGACTTCCTATTCTATTTAATATTTAAGATCCTGTAAGAAATACAGCTCCCTCTTTAAACTAATAAATTCTCACTAAAATGCTATAAATGAGGTTCCCTGATCCAAGTCCAGTTAGTTTTCATGCTTGATAGCATTAATACTGCCAGATTTTCATGGGCCAATTTAATAGTAATGCAGCTCCCAAAGCTGAACTAT